TGGGTGCTGGCAGGCTTGCACCTGGCACGGGCACCGTAGCCAGCCCGTGCCCCTTTAAGGGCTCCGGGGCCCGGAGGAGGGCAGACGAGTTTCCCTGGTGGTGCCCAGAATGGCCACCAGGGAAAGCTGGGGAGGGCTAGCCTCCCACTAATTCGAATTAAGTGGCTACACAGCCCTTAATTCGAACTGCTTAATTCGAACTAGGCGTTAGTCCTCGTAGAATGAGGTTTACCTAGTTCGAATTAAGCGCTCCGCTAGTTCGAATTAAGTTCGAACTAGTGGTTTGTATGTGTAGCGCCTATCAAAGTTAATTCGAACTAACGGCTGTTAGTTCAAATTAACTTTGTAGTGTAGACATACCCTTATTTAGATCTGTCTGTCATCACTTGCAATCACTTACATTTTACTTGTTATACTTAATAAAATCATTTATTTATTATCATAATTACCTGGGCGGGGGGATAACAGCTGTGCATATCTCTCTTTCATGGATAAAGCAAGCTAACTTTATGAGCTTGCTCTATGTAAACTTTTATATTGAGTAAGATGGATTTATGTGGGGTTTGGTCTTATCTAGGACTGGGCTTCTTGGTGCAGACAAGTCCCTTTAGCTGAGCCCTCACAGAGCTGAGCTGTTATCTGTGTCTGTGTTATTCTGCTGGGGAGGCTGTTACTCCAATTCTGAGCCTTTGTGGGGGAGACCACACTGTGATGGGGTGCAGGACAGGGCCAGTAAGTGGGCTTGGTGATATGATCAGCACATCAGGTGACAATCTCAAGGAGATTTCTGTGACCCAACCTGTCACTCCTGCTATTGGTGACTAGAGTGGATGTAAATATTTTCCCCCTTTCTCCACCTGCCCCTTGCTGATTGGGTAGGGGTATGATAAGTATTTCTGCTCATTCTCTCTTGCTTAACCAAAGAACAGAGACCACAGTAGCCACAGACAACTTTTTGTGAGAAAATTGTATATGTTAGCAAGAGAGAGCACAAAGTCATTGGCTGGTGTAAATTGAAGTACAGGCAGTCCCCGGGTTACGTACAAGATAGGGACTGTAGGTTTGTTCTTAAGTTGAATCTGTATGTAAGTCGGAACTGGCG